TCCGGTATTGTATATGTCAACCTCTCCTGCTACGTGTGTTTTCCTGGTTCCCTGGATATAATTAAAGTCTCCTTGTTGATGTACTCCTCGTTCCTTGCTCCACGCTCCCTCACAGTAGCGAATGTGACAACTCACACCGGTTTTATTTTTTTATGCATTTATAGTTACATTAATTACAATTACATTATGTAAGGAATAATTAATGACGGGCTGTTGAATTATTAGAAAATAATGCACACCCAAGGTAATTTTGGCAAATATGTTAGAAAAATTATTTTTCTTTGAAGCTAGAAATGGCCACTAATACAAAAGCAAAAAATAATAAACTAATGTAATAAAATATTCTCAATCTTACTGAAGGCAAGTAAACACTCCAAGTATTACTTACAAGCTAAATGATAAATAAATATATTACTCAAAAATACAAATGAAATAGTTTTTTAGTTTTTCAGATAGTAGCCTAGTAAAGGCTTCTAGAAATAGCCTCCTACAGACATTTCATGAAGTAATAAATGTAAAAATAATATTCACTCTACACATTAAATATAGATGATTCTTATTCAAGTTAATAAGTGATTCAGTCAAGAGCAGTGAGTGATTTTCTCCTTTTCTTTTGTTTGATTAACATTTATGACGCAGTCGGCGGCTGCAGGTTTACGCTATTGCTTTAAGATCTGATGCATAAATCAAATATTTTGACATCTGTATTTCTCCCAACTGTTCAAGTTCACTTAAGACAAAACCGACTGCATTTACATGAATAGTCTCCAAGACGGGCATTTTGACATAGCTTTTCGTCTAAGTGTGTAGCAATAACAGAACTTATAATACCTCTAATATCTCTGTGTGTTTCAGGATCTCCCCCCAAACCCACACTGAGCATCTTTCCGGATCAGCAGGAGACGACTGAGGGAAGTTCAGTGAGTCTGCGCTGCTCTACTAAGATCTTCTGTCCATCTCGTCCACCATCTCTCACATGGAGCTCATCTCTCATCGAGAGCATCACAGGACAGCAGTATCAGAGCCAAACTGAGCTCATCTCTGATCTGAACTTCACTGTTTCTCACCGTCATCACAGAGTCACTTTCACCTGCACTGCAACACACCAGCTACAGCAGCCGAGCACATCACAAGAGTCCCGTAGGCTACGTGTTCAGTGTAAGACAGAAATTATATCAATCTGTGCTGAATGATCATCTATAATTAGTGCTGTAAATCATAAAGTAATCGCCTGAATGATTTTCTCCTCCATTAGATGCTCCTAAAAACACATCGGTGAGGATAAATCCAGCTGGTTTAGTTCTGGAGGGCCGTTCAGTGACTCTGATCTGCAGCAGTGATGCAAACCCAGCGGTGAACTACACCTGGTACAGAGACACTGAAAGACCTCTGAATCCAGTTCAGACCGGATCAAACCTGACCATCAACAACACCGACCCGACACACAGTGGACGATACTACTGTACAGCTGAGAACACACACGGGACACAGAACTCATCAGTGCTGCTGGACGTTCAGTGTGAGTATTACGTGTCTTAACTAATTGCTAATACATATTTTCCACACCTCCATTAGTGTTGTTTTATAGTTGATGTCTTTACTATTATTTAAAAATCTGAAAAAAAGTCATAATACTAAATACTGTGACATCTAGTGAGAGTACTTGTAAATCTGCTGAGCATCCACAGTGAGTACTTGTTACTCTTGTGGACGTCCAGTGCAAGTAATCTGCTGAACGTCCAGGAAATCTTCTGAGCATACAACTGCGAATACTTGGTAATCTTCTAGATGTCCAGTGCTAGTACTTGGTAATCTGCTGGACGTCTAGTGAGAATACTTGGTAATTTGCTGGGTGTCCAGCGTGAGTACTTGGTAATCTGCTGAGTGTCTGGCATGAGTACTTGTAATCTTCTGGGCATCTAGTGCAAGTTCTTGGCAATCTACAAGATGTCCAGTGCAAGTACTTGGTAATTTGCTGAGCATCCAGTTTGAGTACTTGGTTAACTTCTGGGTGTCCAGTGTGAGTACTTGGTAATCTACTTGATGTCCAGTGCAAGTACTTGGTAATCTACTTGATGTCCAGTGCAAGTACTTGGTAATCTTCTGGATGTCCAGTGCAAGTACTTGGTAATCGTCTGGATGTCCAGTGCAAGTACTTGGTAATCTGCAGGACATTCAGTTCAGATGGTCCAGCACGTCTCAATTCAGTCTGTTTAGTCTAGACAAATGAAAGACAGTCTCTGTCCGATTGCATGACAAACTTAGACAATAACATATACTACAAATTCTCATCATATATCTTATTGTGTTTGTGTTGTTTTAGCACAGTAGACTTAAACTTCTACACACAGTTAGTGTGAAGTGAACAAGTAACAGGGAAAAATACAGACATGTGGTGTTTTGTTAGTGTTGTGGCCTGCTGTAGATGTTTGAACAAATGCTTTAACAAGTTGCCTGCATCTGAAACTTGTAAAATAGAGAGGTTTAAACCTGCAGCCTTTCATATTTTGAACTGTTAAATCACACATTCTACATTGCATCTTTTTTTTTTCTCCCTCAGATGCCCCAAAAAACACATCATTGTCAGCGTTTCCCTCCAGCTCAGTGATGGAGGGCAATCCAGTGACTCTGAGCTGCAGCACTGATGCAAACCCAGCGGTGAACTACACCTGGTACAGAGACGCTGAAAGACCTCTGAATCCAGTTGAGACCGGACCAAACCTGACCATCAACAACACCGACCCGACACACATTGGACGATACTACTGTACAGCTGAGAACACACACGGGACACAGAACTCATCAGTGCTGCTGGACATCCAGTGTGAGTATTACGTGTCTTAACTAATTGCTAATATGTATTTTCCACACCTCCATTAGTGTTATTTTACAGTTGGTGACTTTACTATTATTTGACAAATCTGAAAAATAGTCACAATACTAAATACTGCAACGTCCAGTGAGAGTACTTGTAAATCTGCTGAACATCCAGTACGAGTACTTATAATCTTCTGGGCATCTAGTGCAAATACTTGGTAATTTGCTGGGCATCCAACGTGAGCACTTGGTAATCTTCTGGGCGTCCAGTGTGAGTACTAGGTAATCTTCTGGACTTCTAGTGTGAATGCTTGGTAATCTACTTGATGTCCAGTGGAAGTACTTGGTAATATTCTGGGCATACAAGTGCACATACTTGGTAATCTTCTAGATGTACTGGTCCAGTACCAGTACATGGTAATCTTGTGAATGTCCAGTGAAAGTACTTGGTAAACTTCTAGATGTTCAATATGAGTACTTGGTACTCTTGTGGACGTCCAGTGCAAGTAATCTACAAAACGTCCAATGCTAGTACTTGGTAATCTGCTGGATGTCTAGTGAGAATACTTGGTCATCTGCTGAGTGTCTGGCATGAGTACTTGTAATCTTCTGGGCATCTAGTGCAAGTACTTGGCAATCTATAAGATGTCCAGTGCAAGTACTTGGTAATCTTCTGGGCATACAAGTACTTGTAATCTTCTGGGCATCTAGTGCAAATACTTGGTCATTTGCTGGGCATCCAGAGTGAGTACTGGGTAATCTTCTGGACGTCCAGTGTGAGTACTGGGTAATCTTCTGGACGTCTAGTGTGAATGCTTGGTAATCCAGTGCAATATTTAGTAATCTTCTGGATGTCTAGTGCAAGTACTCGGTAATCTGCAGGACATTCAGTTCAGATGGTCCAGCACATCACAATTCAGTCTGTTTAGTCTAGACAAATGAAAGACAGTCTCTGTCCGATTGCATGACAAACTTAGACAATAACATATACTACAAATTCTCATCATATATCTTACTGTGTTTGTGTTGTTTTAGCACAGTAGACTTAAATGTCTACACACAGTTAATGTGAAGTGAACAAGTAATGGGTAAAATACAGACATGTGGTGTTATGTTAGTGTTGTGGCCTGCTGTAGATGTTTGAACAAATGCTTTAACAAGTTGCCTGCATCTGAAACTTGTAAAATAGAGAGGTTTAAACTTGCAGCCTTTCAAATCCTGAACTGTTAAATCACACATTCTACATCTTTTTTTCCCTCAGATGCCCCAAAAAACACATCATTGTCAGCGTTTCCCTCCAGTTCAGTGATGGAGGGCGATTCAGTGACTCTGAGCTGCAGCACAGATGCAAACCCAGCGGTGAACTACACCTGGTACAGAGACGCTGAAAGACCTCTGAATCCAGTTCAGACCGGCTCAAACCTGACCATCAACAACACCGACCCGACACACAGCGGACGATACTACTGTACAGCTGAGAACACACACGGCACACAGAACTCATCAGTGCTGCTGGACGTCCAGTGTGAGTATTACGTGTCTTAACTAATTGCTAATACATATTTTCCACACCTCCATTAGTGTTGTTTTATAGTTGATGTCTTTACTATTATTTAAAAATCTGAAAAAAAGTCATAATACTAAATACTGTGACATCTAGTGAGAGTACTTGTAAATCTGCTGAGTATCCCCTGTAAGTACTTAGTAATCTTGTGGACGTCCAGTGCAAGTAATCCGCTGAACATCCAGGAAATCTTCTGAGCATACAAGTGCGAATACTTGGTAATCTTCTAGATGTCCAGTGCTAGTACTTGGTAATCTGCTGGACGTCTAGTGAGAATACTTGGTAATTTCCTGGGTGTCCAGCGTGAGTACTTGGTAATCTACTTGATGTCCAGTGCAAGTACTTGGTAATCTTCGGGGCATACAAGTGCGCATACTTGGTAATCTTCTAGATGTACTGGTCCAGTACCAGTACATGGTAATCTTGTGAATGTCCAGTGCAAGTACTTGGTAATCGTCTGGATGTCCAGTGCAAGTACTCGGTAATCTGCAGGACATTCAGTTCAGATGGTCCAGCACGTCTCAATTCAGTCTGTTTAGTCTAGACAAATGAAAGAAAGTCTCTGTCCGATTGCATGACAAACTTAGACAATAACATATACTACAAATTCTCATCATATATCTTATTGTGTTTGTGTTGTTTTAGCACAGTAGACTTAAACTTTTACACACAGTTTGTGTGAAGTGAACAAGCAACAGGGAAAAATACAGACATGTGGTGTTTTGTTAGTGTTGTGGCCTGCTGTAGATGTTTGAACAAATGCTTTAACAAGTTGCCTGCATCTGAAACTTGTAAAATAGAGAGGTTTAAACCTGCAGCCTTTCATATCTTGAACTGTTAAATCACACATTCTACATTACATCTTTATTTTTTCTCCCTCAGATGCCCCAAAAAACACATCATTGTCAGCATTTCCCTCCAGCTCAGTGATGGAGGGCAATCCAGTGACTCTGATCTGCAGCAGTGATGCAAACCCAGCGGTGAACTACACCTGGTACAGAGACGCTGAAAGACCTCTGAATCCAGTTCAGACCGGATCAAACCTGACCATCAACAACACCGACCCGACACACAGTGGACGATACTACTGTACAGCTGAGAACACACACGGCACACAGAACTCATCAGTGCTGCTGGACGTCCAGTGTGAGTATTACGAGTCTTAACTAATTGCTAATATATAGTTTAAACACCTCCATTAGTGTTATTTTATAGTTGATGTCTTTACTATTATTTTAAAAAATCTGAAAAAATTATACTAAATACTGTGACATCCAATGAGAGTACTTGTAAATCTGCTGAACATCCAGTGTGAGTACTTAATAATCGTGTGGACGTCCAGTGTGAGTACTTGGTGATCTTCTGGACATCTAGTGTGAATAGTTGGTAATATGCTGGCCGTCCAGTGCAAGTACTTGGTAATCTCTAATATAATCACATCTACATTGTGACAAACCCTAAACACAGTGCACGGTATGGCTGTAAAGCTCAAAACCAGCATGGACAACACAATGCAACAATTCAACTGGATGTTCAGTGTGAGTAAAATGACAAACCTCAAATTACTGCGCTGCAATTACTTAATCTGATCTCTGATAACGTAAATACTGTGAATATTAACTGCAGTAATTGCAGCAAACACATAATAATGCTCTAGACAGCATTGCATTTGAATGCAAAGTGCATTGTTTATAGTGAAATTAAATGCAAATTTACCATAAAAGCATGCAAGAAAAGCATAATTTCTTTCACACAGTCAAAATATGACTTTCAGCACTGAATAGACTACTAAAAAATGTTGCAAAAACCACAAAAGTATGTTTAAATGACTTAAACTTTATATATAGCTTAAGTTGAAGACAATTTGATCATATAAACTACACTACAGCATGCTATATGGTGTAATATCTTACATGGTGTGTGCATCACAGAGTATGGCGACAGTCAGCTGTGCACAGGCTGCATGCCTATTTTCTGTGGCAACCGGCAGCATTTGGTGCTTCACATTAAACAATGTTTTGGCCAATGTTTTTGTTCCTCTTTTCTACTTCTGCACTCTATTAGATTTCAGTAGGGTTTTTTTCTGTTTTTGTCATGAACGTATTCATTTTTGTCCAAAATAAGATGTTCAGCAGTTTCTATTAAGTGTTAGAAAAAACCTAAAGCAGTTACAGATTCTGTCTACACTGTAAAAAAGAAACAAGCTGTGATGTTTACAGGAAAAAAGGTTGCTGTTAATATGCCAACTTACTAATGTACTAACCATCATTAAACACAGAATTATAAATTAAATTACATTAAAATACATTTTAAGAAGATGACGTTCTTTTTCACCTCTAAAAACTGTAAATTTAACAATATTTTACTGTAAAATGACATGAAATGTGCTGTTAGATTTATTATTTTTCACTGTATATAGTAAGGGAACTTGCTTTTAAACAATTAACATGGTCTTACCATGACATTTTTAGTGTTTTACCATTAAAATTAAGACAAATTTTTACACTGTAGAGACCATTTTTACAATGTAGAGATAATTAAAAACTAAAACTTCTAAAAATGACAAACACAACAAAATTACTAAAACTTTAACTAAAATGAAAAATATAAAATATATAAAAACTATGATAGTATCTCAGTGATACAAAATGAACATTAAGTCAATATTACATTTAAAATTAATGTATTTTAAATATACTTAATTGCAACTTCATCATTACAAATGTAATACAAATAAATTTAAATACATGAAATGTCCTGGGCTGCGTTTCCCAAAACCATCAGGAGCCTAAGTAGATCGTACAGCCATTGCCACCAATGGTCTCTACGATCAACACAACCCTTTCTCACTGTATATAGTAAAGGAAATTGCTGTTAACCAATTAACATTTTTTATATACATATGAAACATATGTTTTTAGTGTTTTATCATTCAAATTCTGAACATGTTGTACACTGTAGAGACCATCAAGATCTTCTGTATCATAACGATTATATTTTCTCTTTCAGTTGCACCCAAAATCTCCAGCTCTTGCAGCCGAAGCAGTGTAATGGCATGTGTCTGTGAGGCTCATGGGAATCCCTGCCCTACACTAGAGTGGCGTCTGTCCGGATATGTGCTCGCTAACTCTACAGAAACCTCCATCAGTGAGGAGACGTTAGGAAGCACAGGAGTGAAGAGCGTCCTGAACATCCATCAGTCCCTCACAGACACGGACGTCCTACAGTGTTTCAGCACAAACAAACACGGCAGCTGCAGCCAACAGTTTCAGGCCGTCCCACCGCCACAAGACACACGTGAGAAACACAACAACAGCTTCATCTGATCAGCAAGAAAGATCACAAATGATATCTTTATCCATGTGAAAAAGAAGTAGCTTAATTGTACTGAAAAAACTACTTGCAGATAATTCATTATTAATGACACTTCGAGCACACTTTTAAAAAGTTCAGTATGTAATAATGTCAATTTCACATCTGAGATTGTTAAATGAGTTTCAGTGAGATCTCCTGAACTATGAAAGACCAACCTCTGAGCAACAAAACACTGTTTTCCAGGTTTCCATCATCCGTCGGTACTGCTCGGAGCTGCTGTCGGTGCATCAGTGATGATGATCGTGTGCATCGTGATGCTCTGCTATGAACGGTGGGAACAAAGAAGAAAACATGATAATCACAAAATTGGTGTAATGTATGATGAGATAAAGCTAAACTACATCTATATACATATATTGCAATGGCACTGACGAGACGTGAGACATGTGGATCCATCCGCAGGCTTTATTAAAGAGACGTAGTACACAGGCAGGGTCAAAACAATGGCAAACAGGTATATGGCGGGCAAAACACAAGAATAGTCCTAGGGCTAGCGTAGGTCACCGATCAGCAGACAGAATCAAAGGGGCGAGACGAGAGGGAGAAATCCAAGAAAACAGGCAAAGATCAAAAACCGCAAAAACAGGCAAGGCAAAACAAGGAAAACACGGAGACTCGGAAAGGGGTACAGGCTAAACAATACTCAGCCGAGAAATGTGGTTAGAGTGGGTGTTATATAGTGAGTGAGGTGATTAGAAACAGCTGTGTGCAATCAGTGCAATCAGGGCAGTGTGCAAATTGTGCAAAGAATGATGGGAAATGTAGTCCGGGGTGCTATGCAACAGTTTGTGTAGTGCGAGAGTCAATGAAATGGAAAGGGTGACCTCTGGTGGTGAATAAACAGAAGTCCATGGACTGAATTCGTGACAG